ACACAAAATAGACCACACAAAAGACTGTTGATATATTTTCCTAAATTGTGAAGTCAGCATTGGAACCACTGACCATTTCAAAGAAAATACATCAGGGCAGGGATTCTCTTTTCTTTTCATGTCAGGTTTTGCCAGACAAAACTATTTGAAAGCAGCAAAATATAAAAGAAACTATTTACATTTAAGTGAAAAATATTGTTGCCACATGAGTTTTAGAAGCAGACCAGCTAATTAAATTACCTACTTAAAAACTTTCACATCTTTTTTTTTTTTTTTTTTACCTTGTGGCATTGTTTTCTTTCCATCTCAAATTCTGAGATGTATGTAGTGTTTCCAGTTGATAAGTCTGAAGGGATAAGAATAAAAATCTGTTGACGTAAGAGTGGGTTCATCAACCAAGGTCATCTTAGTAATGCTCTTCAACGTGTCTGTTTGCAGTCTTGATATTACTGTATAAATATGAGAACGTTTTTCTTAAGAGCTATTTCTGTTTTTTCGGTTGTCAAAAATAATAGTTATATAAGGTTGTACTTAGTGTGTGTTGATTCCAGCTTAACTGATATTTGTTTCATGTTGGTTACTTTATTGAAAAAAATTTTCGAAGGCTTTGGCAGTATAACAACCTTTCCATGGTCCTGCAAAGAATCTTCCTATTGATTCACATTAGAGAGTTTGACAGTGCATTGAGGTGTTGATTAAATGACAAATGCTTTAGGTGTGAAAACGATATTTGACCGGGGAAGAGTATAATCTGCTCAAATGGTGTTATCCTTAAACGCTTGTGTTACCTGTTCTATATTTTCATTTGTGGGGTTTACTTTCACAATTAGAGTCAGTACATTTGAGCATGGAATAAAATTGTTCATTTTTGTTTATCATCTCTTTTGCAAAATGGGCCTTCATTAAATAGAATCCTTCTTAAATCAGTTCTCATTTGTCTTATGAATCTCTTTTCATTTTTCATGCATGCTTGTGGTCCAACTGTTTCCCAAAAGATCTGGGAATTTTTAATGGTGAAAAGCACTGGATAGTAGGAGGGTAATCTTCTCATAGTTTTTCTCACAGATTACAGAGCTCTTTTGATCAACCACACTCATGTGAAGTCTTATTTACTTAACTGGTCTGGTTTCAGTATGATATGGAATATTCTTTCACCCTGCTTAAGGAGAAAAATAAACATATCATATAATAACAGATGATGACCTTACAAGTGTATCAAGTAGTTCCTTGGGGCATTTCATCATGATATGTCACTGTGTTGATGTTATGCATCTGCTATGTGTTTTAAAGGTCAAGCAGTCTATTTATTGATTCTGGAGGAAAATTGCAGCACGTATGATTTTCTGAGTGTTCTTGATTTACTTGCAGATTTTTCCTGGTGATTGTAAGTTTGATTTTAAGTGTGCTGAGCACAGTGCGTACAAAAGAAGAAAACTATGAAGAAGTTTTACAGACACCAATTTTAGTAGTGGTGAGTGAATAACAGTGCACAAAATAAGACACAGACTTTGAAAGCTGTGGCATTGATGAGGGGCATGAATTGCTTAAAGTTATTTAAGTCTCTGTGGGGAGTAGGAAAGAATTTTGGCCCCAGAATCTGTGATAAAAGGCGCCAATTTGGTTGGCCTGCATGACGTCCAAGTTTTCATTTTGTATTGCTGGTGTTTTAGGCTTTAATTTAATAATAATAGAGAAAATTTGTGAAGAGTATCATGTAATGTTGTAAACCTTGTCAGTTCCTGTTTTTCATGTGCCTGTTTTTTATTTTATTATCTAAAGTGAACTGTTAGGGAAACCTGAGGATCAGAAGTGATGATGAGGTCATACCCTTTCACTCCTAGATCTCATTAGTGATTCTCCTTATTGTCTGCAATACAATTCTTGTCGTGTTAGTTCTGAGAATTTGGTATTGGATCAACTAATAATCCCCTAATTGATAGTTTTCTTCCTTTCATGATTTGTGTGCTTTGATTCATGAGTTGAGTCGGTAGGCTAAAGAGCACACTTACATGTATCTTTGTAAAGCTTCACTAACCAAAACTAATTTCAATTTTGTTTTATTTACAGGAAATTATTTTAATAGTCATATTTGTAGTAGAGTATTGTATAAGATTTTGGGCAGCTGGCTGTCGAAGTGCTTATGTAGGAATCAAAGGAAGACTGCGCTTTGCTGTGCAGATATATTCTATAATAGGTATGATGTTGATCAATTTTGTACTTTTTCTATTTTTTTTTTTGTGGCATTGTGTTTATATATGGCTTAGATAATAGCATCATGAATGTTGTCCCCATGAAAAACATTGTAAAGGGATGCTTAGAAAATAATGATTTAAGTTGGCACTTGAATGAACTCAAGGATTCAGCTAACTTGACATCATCAGGGATATTATTCCACATGATACAAATTCTGTTAAAAAACTAGTTCTGAAAATGCTGGGTATCATATTGTAATGTAATGTGTTAATGTCTCAGTATGTTAGTCATGTGTCCCATAATGTAAGAGCCAGGCTAATCAATCGTGTATTGATTGTGACATTTCAACTGCTGTATAACTGCTAGTTTTTGTCAGATTATTAGCTTGTGGTCAAGTTACGTTTACTCCTGCAGCAGTAGCACCAGGTCTTACTGGGGCTGCTGCAGTTTTGCAACTCTTCTGTGGATGTCAGTTTGGTTAACTCCTGGTATATCTTGTCTAACATGCTCACAAGCTGCTGCTCTGCTTTCTTCCAACCTCATTGCTAAGAATTTTGTCTCTATTTGTAGTCTTCCATTGGTGAGTGATGTAAGGGTGGTAAAGTGGATGTCAGTCACAGAGTTGCCATAGTTACCTCCTACTTAACTCCTACTTAACTCCTACTTAACCTCCTAGTCACTTCTTAGCACCACAAACCTTAGGGAGGACAGTAGGGGCACTTGTTTGACATTATGGCCATATTGGCACTTTTTTGGTGATGTTGCTTTTCTTAGGTGCTTATTCAAGGAAATATGCTGTGTGACAATTTTTTATGTTTATTTTTTTATTTTTTGTTGCAGATATGGTAGTCATTATTTCTTCAATTGTCGCTGTGTCCCTAGCTAGTAACACGTCTTCTTCTCCAGTTAGGTATTACTACATTTTTTGCCATTTCTTGTCTTTGAATTTTGTGCCCATTCTTGTGCCCTACTTTGATTACAATGATTTTCTGTTTTTATCTCCCAGGTTACTGAGATTTCTTCCACTCCTTCGGGTTTTGAGATTTGATAGGCAGGGAGGAACATGGAAACTTTTGGGCTCCGTGATCTTTGTTCATCGTCAGGTGGGAATAAAATAAAATTGAATTAAGTTCTCTTGAACCATAAATTATATAATTATTAAACTTTTCACTCTACGATATCACCCATGAATCATGCACAGGAAGTGATCACCTACTTAAGAAGTTCTTGATTGTTAAAAAGGTTCTCCTCATCAGCACCTTAGAAAATGTATAGAGAACAGTATGGAGAATATGCATACTGATGTTAGGCTGAAAAGGTCCTCAGCTAATGTATAGAGAACAGTATGGAGAATATGCATACTGATGTTAGGGTGAAAAGGTCCATAGGCAATGTATAGAGAACAGTATGGAGAATATGCATACTGATGTTAGGCTGAAAAGGTCCATAGGTAATGTATAGAGAACAGTATGGAGAATATGCATATTGATGTTAGGGTGTAAAGCGTAATTAACAGTGATTCTGATGTGATATTTCTCTTTGTTTTCAGGAACTTCTCACAACATTTTATCTTGGTTTTATCAGTTTAATATTTGCATCCTTTGTACTCTACATGGTTGAAAAAGATTCAAATAGTGAATTTGACAGCTGGCCTAGCTCCTTTTGGTGGGGAATTGTAAGTGCACACATGTCAATTGACTAAACTTTTCATGTAATGTCTATCTCTTTGTCTTCCTCTTTTCTCCTCTTTCTTACCTTTCTGTCTCACTTGACTCCTTTCCATCTACTCCTAATAACCCTCAGAAGTTTTATAAATTTCCTTCCTTTACTTCCTCTTCTTCCCTTCTTTTCTTGATTATCTCCTACCCTTACACCTCTCCCCTGTTTCTCTGCTCCTCTCTCTTCCTTCTCTTTTCCTTCCTCTCTCCCTCCATCCCCCTCTCTCCCTTTCCTTCCCTTCCCTTCCTTTCCTCCCCCTCCCACTCTTCCTTCTCTTTCTCTCCCTTCCTCTTCTCCTCCCTCCTTTCCTTGCTCCTTCCTCTCCCACCACTCCTCTCCTCCTTCCTTGCTCTCTTCCTTCCACCCTCTATTCTTGACCCTTCCCTTCCTCTCCTCCTCCTTGCACCTCTACCCTTGACTGCACCCTCCCTTGCTTCTCCCTTCCCTCTGCCCCCTAGTAAAGTCAACAATATGATTGGTTAATGTTGCAGGTAACCCTTACAACAGTTGGTTATGGTGACACTGTACCTTCCACTTGGTATGGAAAGTGTTGTGCTGCTCTGTTTTTCATCTCTGGGATTTCCTTTTTTGCTCTTCCTGCTGTAAGTATTTAGAGGTATTACATTGGGTAAATCAAGTAATTTTACCCATTTAACATTAATTGGTGGAATAATCTAAATTTGGTAATATTATAAATAACAATTGAACTACACAGCTATGTGCCTAGAACTTGAGGGAGGGGAAAAATACTGATACAATTGTGATTTTTAGTGATTACTTTACTGCCATTTCTAGTTTCTAAAAATCTCTCACTTCAAATTGAGATTACGAGCTGAACCTTTTTCATGAAAGTGAGTTTTGTTGGCTCGAGAATAAAAACTATGTATCAAAGGCCTGGTTTTGCTTTGGAGATGTTGGACTTCTAAAACACAGTCTTTCTATACATTGCAATTTGAGCTTTGTGATACAGTATAATAGGCCTTTTCTGTGTTCCTAATTTGAATGAGGCTGATTGAAAAACCTTGATTGTGAAAGTAAGTTTTGTTTTCTCCAGAATCAAAATCATTTTCTCATTTAAAGTTGTGCAGCAAGCTTTGTTGAAACCAGAGGCACTGAGTTTTAAGAACACTAAGAACATTGCATTTTAATTTTTTCATTGTTTTCTAGGGTATTTTAGGATCAGGATTTGCATTAAAGGTCACACAACAGCAGAGGCAGAAACATTTTCACAGGAGAAGAAGGCCTGCTGCAATTCTCCTTCAGGTATTTATATAATTTTATCATTTTGCTTTAAGATTGATCCCAAGTACCCACTCTAAAAGAAGTCCTGCAATTCTTCCTTGTGGCTAACCATTGAACACCTCTGGATGGTATTTAACTTTGTAATGGAGGAGACGTGATACTCATTTTAACCCTTTGACAGGGAATGGCCAGCATCTAATTTCTCCTTACAATATCACCCCTGAATCACACATTAAGGTCAGGAGAATCAAGGAAACAATCACCAACTAAAAAAGTTCTTGATTGCTAAACAAATTCTCCTAGTCAGGAGCTTAGAAAATGGATAGAGAACAGTAAGGTGAATATGCATATTGATTTTAGGTTTGTTCTTCGTCTCTTCTCTGCAGTCATATTGGCGGCTCTTCTGTGCTGATCTTGACTCAAAGTCAGTAGCAACATGGCTGCCGTCAATCTATTACAATCGTCAGCAGCACCTCTTGAAGGCTGTGATGGAGAAAACAGGCACCACAGGTATGGTGGGAGTGGAAGATGATTATCCTCCTCTATCAGATTCTCAACGTAAAAGGAAACGGTCTCTATGGACAAAACAGAAAGGGTTAAGAAGAGAGTCATATGATGTGCAATCCACTAGATCTGATTCACAATTGACTGCTAATTATGACAGGAAGGCTAGCACCTGCAGTGTATTAGACAGTGATTTTATTGGTGAGACACTGTGCCCATTTTTTGACTTTAACCCTTTTGAGCCCAAGAGTACAAAAGCAAACCTTTTCAGAAAAATTCAAGGCACAATTTTTGGCATGCTGTCTTGAGTCAGTCCAGTCTTCAATCTTTTCTAATAAGCAGTGGGTGGCTGAGTCTTATGAGTAAGGTGGTGTTGCTCAAACAGCATGCAGTCAAGCCCAGAAAATATTAAAAAACCCAATTTTGCCAAAAAAAAAAAAAAGAAACTTTAAAGTAAACTCTTTCAGCACAAAAATTGCTGCTGCATAGCTGTCATTTGGTTGGTGAGTTTAGCAAGTTGTTCTGTGAGATGTCCACAAGAACCAAACTGAAAAATGTCGACTGGCCATGGATCTAACTCAGGAGGAGAAAGGGTTAAAGTTTGTTATTGTCAGACAAAAAAGACAATATTTAGGGCTGGTTTTTGTAAGTGAGGGAGTTGATGAAGAGGCTGTGGAAATGTTGCAGATGATGGCATATATATAAGCATCAAAATATCCTTACTTTGACATCATTTCTCATCTGATTGTTGCATTTAATCCTGCTGCAGTCTGCAAAAGATCCAGAAAAGTGTTGTGACAAGTTGTCATCAGCCTTGTTTACCACATGCAGTTAAATCCATGGGGTCTGTTGCCTCACACACTATCAACTGGTTCTTGCAAAAATCAGTTTTAAATCTTGTATGGGCATTATCTATAACTGAGAATCATGTTTGACTCTCTTCACTACTTTGTAACTGATTTCTTTTGGAACTGGAGGTAATAGCCCTACAGACAAGCATTTTGGAAAATTTAAGTGCAGAAGTTCTTTGGAAAACCTAGGGAATGATAGGACTGTGCCAAAAATCTGACGAAAGATGATTTCAATGTTTCTTTAAAAAGTGTATATGTCAGAAAACAATACCCTGCTCAACACTTTCTGCTAGAAGGGGAGTACTTTGTTTTTGGAGATGCTGTCTTTGATTTGGCACTTGGAGAATTCGATGAATACAATGAATACACGATTCTAGCTTTTAACAATAAGATAAGTGTAGTAGATATGCTGTTTTTTAATTTTCTCACATTATTTTGTTTATTTTTCCTTTATTAGTAAGAATGCACCAGTGAACTAGCACTTGCACTGTCTTCAGCACTTGCAAGAACTAACATAGCAATCCACTGTTTTACAGAAAGATAGGCACTAGCCAGTATGAAAATATGGGATTCCTGTGGCATGCATGTGTTAACTTAATTCTATGGTTCTAAATCGATTCTAAATTAGGCGAATGAATGATTATTTACTTTGATCAATATAAACAGCTCTGAACATGAAATAACCTCAAAAAGTACATTGTGAATGTTTCAACTGTGAAATCTGAAATACTTTTTTTTAATTGGTAAGCGGTAGGCAGACCTAAAGACAAAAAATAGTAAATATTTTCAAAACTGAAAAAAGGTAAATTTAAAGTTTAGCATATTATTTCTCTTAAAGTAAAAGGTCCACAATTGTTGTGTAAATGAATCTGAATTTGGGAATACTTAAGTCACTCAGATCTTTGAGGCATTTGAAGGTTAAATCGTGGTTATAAACAAAATAACATTTGAGAGTGGTAAAGGCAGAGTATCATTAAAATAGTGACCCTTTGTATTACTTTTATTATTTTAAATAAGCATGGAAAAGTTTCCATACTCTTTAAATGTAAGGTTTGTCTTAATTTATTACTTGGTACTGTATTTCCTCTGCTAGGGACCCCCCTATTACTTTTCCCCCCTCAACCGCCCCTCAAAACAGAAGGAACTGTTGGAGGAGGGTTTTCAGTAGTACAGCTCACCTTTAAAAATTAGCGATGCAATCTGTAATTCTTGAATTGACAACAATTAGGTTTACTTTTGGGGGGCCCTCATCGAGGAATTGCAGCTTAATAAACTAACAATAAATTAAAATTTGAAATACAATTCGATCTATCTTCAGCTGAGGGTACCAGGTCGAAATTCGGATCCGTGACTAGCCATGACGCTATAGTCACGATGCTGTCGTCACATAATGTTCAGTGTTCAGTTGTTCACTCCAGAAAGCAATCAATTGCACCTTTGATTTGGGGCGGTAAGTGATTGACAGTGATTGACAGTTGATGGATAATGATTAACGTTTTGATCGATAGTCATCTCGGAGTTTCTAAACTTGCCTTTTGTCGTAATAGTAAAATGGAGGAATTTAAAAAAAAATTAATGGATGTAAACGTGCTGTTTGAAACGCGTAGTGATCTATTAACTGACCTTAAAAATTTTTTGAATTCTATATTTTATTTTCCACTTAAAAGAGACCTTGCAGTGAGTGCTTAATTTGACACAAAACGTCCATAACGCCCTTGTATAAAGTCAAAAATTGAGTGTTACATGACATTTAAATGTATACTTTCTTACGTCATAGCTGAATTCAAGGACGATGAACTTGTCTATTTGTCTTGTTTTGAAGGAAAGTTTAACCTCTAATCAAATAATTTGTACATAAACAGTTAAAATATTGTAACTTAATGGAGAGATATCGCCTCTGTCAGGTGGGTCGGTAAGCTTTGTATTTACTAACCATGCGCAGGAAGCATGAACCGATTATGCACTATATTGGTCGCACGAGGTAAATCCATGATTCACTCTGATAACGTAATCTTCAGAAATTTGTCATGATTTGTTGGTATTAATTCGCAGATATTAAAAACTGGGACAACCAATGAGAGATTAATAACACACACTTCATTTGTAAGGAACTGTGGGTGCAGTTTTCGACGTTACTCGGGCATTAAAGCATTTGAGCACAGACAATTATTGATGAAAAAATATTTCCCTTCAGTTTTTTTTGACTAATGTATGCATTATCGTCTACGATATTGCAGATGAAAATGCACTTTTGGCTTTACAGACAGATGGGGAACGACCGTGTATCGAGTAAGCGTTTTTCTTTGTGAAATTTTTATTAAGACATCTGCGGATTAAATGGGGTTTTTCAAATCTCAACTGAAATGACTTCCTTCAACAGGTTGACAAATGCTCAAAAGTTGGCGATCCGTCTCATTCGAATTTTAAAGCTCAGAGTTGCAATTAGGAAATTCAAGGTGAGAGAATCCTGATTGTGTTGTTCGTCTTTCGCTAAATCAGTAAGATAAACCTTTGAAATAATTCTACAGAAGAATTATCTTAGGTTATTCACATAGACTTTCCCAAAAACTGTTGCTAGGAGTAGCTCAGAGTTACAACTTGGGAAGTTTAAGGCGAGGGAAACGAAACTCTAGTTCCTCTGAAGATGAATTTGTAAGATAAGAAGAAACCTTCAAAATTGTCCACAAAGTAAATTTTCTGTGGTGTTTCAAATATAACGTTGTGGCAACGTTAAAATCTTTACGGACGTGGCGGGTAAACAATTTATGTCTACGAGTTCTCGAGCCATGTTCCCAAGCAAACTTTCTGGAATTCCCTAACAAATGTATGGAGGTATGTGTAGCTTTACAGGGAATTGGGATGAATTTTCTCGTTAGGAAGTGGGAGAGAACAAACCTCAACAACAGGAAGAAAACAACATAGTTGGATGTTTAGCGCGCTTCTCGATTTAGTTTCGTTAAACCAAAACCAAAGTAATCTTAACAGCCAATCAGAAGGCAGGAAAATACCTCTAAGAGCCAATGAAAACTCAAAGGAAAACTAACCAAATCTCCTAAACTGCGGGATAACACGGGCGACTAAGTCGTGATTGATTTTAGTTTTGCATCTGATTGGTTGAGAGAAAGGGGCGAGTTTTCTGGACCAATCACAGAGAGAAAGTAACGTAAAAACAAAGCTATCCCGGATTCCTCTCGACGGTCAGTTGAAAGTTGTTTTAACTTATTATCTTTCCTTTCCTTGTTGGTTTGTGCAGGAGGCCAGGAGACCATATGATGTTAAAGATGTGATTGAACAATACTCAACAGGCCACGTGGAAATGTTAGCAAGAATTAAAAGTCTCCAGGCTAAGTAAGGGCAAAACTAATCCGTGGTTCTAGAGTCTTATTTCATATTCAGTCATGGTAGGTTTAAGCGAAAGAGAGAAAATTTAACTGCGCGGTTTCAAGGAATCTTGTGAGAAGGTTTCAGGTGACATGATGCGGAGCCAGGGATCAATAAGTGTCCGTGTCCAACATAACCAATCAGAACTCGAAGCAAATACACGTTGCAAGCACTCCAAGCGGGGTAAAATGCTTGCACAATAGTCGTGATTGATTTTGATTGGTCCTGGAAGTTATGCCTGTTTTCTTTGAGCCATTCAACGAGCGATGTTCAGCGAAACTAAAGCGCATGCAAGTTTCTTATAAAAAGTTGTGTAAGCTGTCCTCTATCTTTTTTTCCCCTTCAATTAGTCAATCGTTGGTGTTTTAGACGTCTAATATTCGTGTCATTATATTCCCAATGACTATTTGCTTATAAAGCAAATATATGTGTAGTTCATTCAAGTGCGATTCAGTTTTTTTGATGAAAAGCCGCAGATAGTTTGTTGGAAAATCTAATGTGATAGTCGTTTGTATGTGGAGTAACCTGTGGCTTCCTATTGATTACTCTAGGATGGATAAATCTCACAGGAGTGAAGGAGGTAGGTGATCAGGTCATTACATGGTGACCTAACATATCAAATTGCTCATCGTCTAAAGAAACATGTATCTTATGGTGACCTGCAGATGTTTGAAAACTCAAACACTGAGAGTCTCTAGTTGAAAACGAGAGTGACAGCCTTGCATGGGTTAATTTTGGATCTGATTGAGAAAGTAGCGCGTTTTCACAGAACTAAGTGAAGCGAAACCATTGCAATCCCTTGTTGCATTCGACTTTTCGATGAAATTATTTTACCAGTTAGTGTAGGGAGAGGGAGGGACACTGACACTGATATATTAATGCTTGGGTTGACGAAGTAAGGTAAGCGACGGCTGTTATTATTTGAAAATTTAAAGACTATTTTTTTCTTTCAGATGACGAAGGCTCGGGAAAAGTAGATGTAACCAAAAGACTTTCTAGGGTGGAACATCAAGTGACCATCATAGATTCTAAACTTGAGTTAGTCCTGCAGATGCTACGAAGCATTCAGAACACTCGTGAGTCTCCCTCGGGAGGCAGCAACTCTTACGATTTGAATTTTCGCGATAATGGCGACGGTGTCTCGTCCAGGCGCTCTTCTGTGACCCGCGCGCATTCCGACCCGTTAGATGTTCGGACCCAAATGGTTCCAGGCACACACAACTCTACTACCCACGTGATAAGAACGTCGGATATTCCTTGCGTGACGCTTAGTTATCCTGAATCTTGTCAAAGTTCAGGGTCTCGCCCAGGCTCTCTAAGTTCCACGCAGTCGCAGTCTCAGTCCCTACACGGAAGTCTTTCTGGTGGAGATCAACACCCAAATTTGGACCAGCTAGATGCAACTTACAATAGTGATGCAACTGTGCTGAACGCTTCAGCGTTGTCACGCAATCTTGGTACGGACAAGAGGCAATTGTCAGACGTTACTGAAGCTGATGAGAGCCTTGCGGATTCGAAAGAGACTGTTGGTGGGCTGACTCCCCCGGGACCAATCTCTCAACAAAACTCTACCGCATCTGATACTGATCCCGTTCCGGGGGATGCAGACAACCTTGCTGAACAGAAGGATGAGGAACCAGTATGGGAGAAAAGGGAAATAGGCTTAGAAACTAGACGGCGCAAAAGAAGTCTCTTGAACTTATCAGAATCCGAAACACAAATGTCAGAACATGGAGAGGTTTTACAGGCAGAAGAAAAAGACTCAGATGACTGCGACATTGTGGCGCGATATCGAGAGACACCAGAACAAAGGGACTCTCTCACAGGGGACGGAGACGCTTTACCAAGGGGTGCTCAGGGAGAATTGGAAGGTGTTCCCTCTTCCCCTCAAGCCGTTGAAGAAGGATCCTATGATACATCAGTGAGGTCCGCGCCTACAAGGATGTCCGCAAAACGGCGCCCTCTTGTGAAATCTAACCCTGTTGAGGTTTAGAGTTATCAGAAGCTAAACGTCTCAAAGACTGGCTTGACACTGTGGAATTATGGTCACAGATAGTATAGGATCACGAAAATGTGTCTCCTGGAGTAACCGGTCCAAGAGCGTTTTCAGCATTTTCAGGATCCGAGCTCATTGGGTGAACGAGGGCCCTACGGGGTTCAGTTGCTTGTCATCTTAGAAAACTCTCCTACCCTTGCGGATGTTCTTACATGACGTTTCCGCCTTTTTGGTGTGGTTGGTGTAGTTACTGATCAACTAGTTCAAGATAAGAGTGGTATTTAGTCCTCTGTCCGCGTGCTTTGAACACGAAAAAAACATAATTTGCGAGAAATAGATAGGGCAATATTTGTCTGTCTCCGTTTTTCGTCAAAAAGCCACTGAAAACTAAGTACTGACCCCCCATGCACGAAGTTTAAAGTTTAAAGTAAAAATTAAAACGGTAATGATGGCTTCTACATTGCGCGAACACCATTGGAAATCTTCTTGATGAAAGATTTCTCAGGAAGCTGGACCTCCTTATATGGTGCGATGCTTAATATATATAAAGATTCTTAATTGCATGAGGATAGAGTTTGTGGATAAGTAAAAAGTAATTTAATAACATAGGCGTGATACTGAAGTCAGTTCGTTGCTGACAGAAGCTGAGATCTTTGATCTAAATAGATGTGATAAATTCGCCGGAAGGTGAATTTATCATGGATCGTCTTCGTTATCTGAGAAATTGCACAGCCACCCCTCCCTTAACCCAACATTAACCCAAACTTGTTATTAGTTGACTGTGGTTGAGTTGGGTTAGGGGTGGGGTGGGTAGGCAGTTGTTCAAATACTTTTATCATCAGCAGAGTATAATGTATTTGAACACGAGGTTGGCTTTTACCAAGAGAGAATAATTTTCTTCTGTGTTTACTAATTATGAAACATGATTATTTAAGTCTCGGATAAGTGTTTTCAAATATTGCTGTTTTATCGACATTACTGAGAATTTTCTCGTTAAAGGTGTATTTTTATATTTGAAGAAAAACTGATCTGTGTGACAGCTAGAGTAATGTACAGTTTGATAAAAGGAAAAAGTCATGATAATGCTTGACTTGGAGGTGTGTTATCTCGACTGCTCTCTCTTGTTTGTGATAAAGGGGGGAGGTTTCCGAAGGAACTGTGGTACTGCGTCAGTGGGGGAGAATAACAAGGTAATTTTGGTTTTATCAACTGAGTTGATAATGTAAATTTGTAACGAGTTTAATCACTGACGTTTTGAGCGTTAGTCTTTCATTAGGGCAGGTGTTATTACATGGGACAAGCAAGGTTAACCAAAAGCATGAACTGATATCCAAACATTTCACCCAGTCTTCCGCTTAAGGATGTATTTGCCATTTGTGATTAGGATTAGGGACATTGAATTCTTCTCCAGGTCTAAGCATCGAACAAGTTAGTATCCACTCAAGATGCATGCAACAGGGTTTAAAAAGGTTCCACCACTTCTCAGGTAACTAGTTTCATGCCTCTTCCTTATTTTGATTCTGGTGTTTGATTGCTGAATGCTTAGAGAACGCTTTTCGATTGAATTTCGTAGAACCAAAGCTAAAGTAACACGATAGCCATTAAGTAGAAACGTAAATGAGAACTCACAACAACAACAACCTAACAATCCCAAGGGCGGGAAAACGCCGGCGACCAAGTCGTGATTTATTTCAGTTCAACATCTGATTGGTTGAGAAAGTGGCGCGAGTTTACTGGACCAATCACAGAGCGAACTAAAGGAAACCCCATAGAATCCTGGATTTCTCCGATGGACCCGTAATCTGGCAATAAAAGCTTTGAAGTCACAACAGGAAATAATGTTTAAAACACACCCTTTAATTTTTTACGGCAAAGGGATAATAATCACTCAATTACAAGTTTTAGTTTTTCACGCCGGGGCAACACCGAATTTTTCAGGCTTTTTTTTTTGTGTGTGTAATTTTGGACTATTAGACTACACATCTTGGTAATTGCAAGATTTAAAATATCAGTACACACAAAAAATGATCATGTCAATTGTATCCAATTAAGTCATCGTAAATTTTGTTTAATTTTTTAATGTCTTCATCACGCGTCAAAGAAACCAACAACCACATTGGCCACCAACGATTTACATCAATTACAATTGACACATTCAATAATATTTTCATAGTCCTTAGTGAGAATGTCCCCAAGAAAGCCAATGAAACGTTAAGTCACGGACATCCAAATGGTATTTCGTTGTTAGTCCCTGACTAACACCCCGAGAATAAGAAAAGTAATACAGCTACATAAATTAAGTATAGTTGCTTTTAAAGGTGGCATGCGAGTCACTGACACGGTCTGATTCAAAAGCGAGATGTTTTCGTTTAAGATCCTTGAACTCCCAAGATCTGCTTGTAAATTCTCCCCTCTAGTCGCTACACATTTCCTTATAAGTTGATTGCGAGAATTAAGTATTAGATCAAGATACCAACTTCTACCTGATAAGTATTTTCACGGCCTGTTCGGTAGATAGCGAATGGATATTATAGGGAGACGTAACATGTTCATATCTTTTGGGAGTTTTAAGGGTAAAAAAACTACACCAGTGTTGAAAATTACTATACATGTATATCCATATAAAACTTGTCCGTACATATATTTTCTAATTCTACTGCCTTGAAATTTCCAAAATGTTCTGGGTAGCCGAGGACAGTTTGTACCGCTCGCCGTTATATCACGCCAAGTCTACTGGTATTCAGTGACGCAACACTGCTGCATCGGGTCCGGTCACGTAACAACCATTCTTCAAAATACGTTAGCTTGCTTTTCCCAGGTCAATTTTCTTTTGCAATGCTCGCGCTGAATGGTAAATCATAGAGTCTACGAGTCCAGCAACTGTGAAAGATAGGAGAAATTTGAGGTTAGAAAGGTAAACTCGAACCCTCGACCTCCCGCACAACACAATCCGGCGCTCTGACCAATTGAGCTAACCGGGTGGACGCAACGTCAGCTCTAGAAACAATTAAAGGTAGCCAATTTATATAAACAACTCAGTCCATTAAACCAAATCATCTTATATACCCCCCCTTCCCCAGACGCAGCACCACAGATACTTAAAGAAGCTCACCCATTTTCTTCGCTGGTCTCTTACTAATAATGAAGGCTGAAAATTTCTGAAGAAACTGTGGCGCTGCGTCGGTGGGGGTAACAAGGTAATTTAGTTATATCAACTAAGTTGAAATTGTAAATTGGCTACCGTAGCAAATAAAAAAGCTGACGTTTCGAGCGTTAGCCCTTCGTCAGAGCGAATGGAGGAATTGTGGGTTGTATGTGGGTTTATATGCAGAAAAGCGGAGCTACGCCATTGGTGGGAACATGGCGACGAGGAAAAACATCGCCTATGTACAACTTTTTGCAAAGTTATACATCGGCGAAACAGGAAGACGACTAGGTGACCGATTCCGAGTACACCTTCGCGACGTAGAAAGGAATGACAAGGACGCATCAAAACCAGTCGCTAGACACTTTAATTTACCTAATCATTCTAAACAACATATGGCAATCGGCGGTCTTTCCTTACATTTAAGCAACACGGAAAGCCGCAAAACTCTTGAACAAAAGTTTATCTTTCAAATCGGCACTCTTAATCCCACAGGTATCAACGAACGCTTTTCATTCCATTCATTTATTCGTGTTTTCCTCGTTGACGAAGGGCTAACGCTCGAAACGTCAGCTTTTTTATTCGCTACGGCGACCAATTTACAATTTCAACTTAGTTGATATAACCAAATTACCTGGTCTCTTACTAAGATAGGTTCGAATTACCTCACTAACATCGTACCTGTGAAAATACCACCAACGATAGCACAGACTCCGGTAAGAAAATGCATAAAAGATCTGAAAGTAATAGAAGAGAAAGATAAATTGAAAGTGCGCCTTCCGAAACAAGGGCACACGTACAGAAATGCCAACACATAGTTAATGCACGAGGCACCCTAACCTCCCGGTTAACTCAATGGATAGAGCGCTGGACTGTTGTGCGGGAGGTCGAGGGTTCGAGCCCCGGCCGGACCAACACTCAAGGTCTTAAAATAATTGAGAAGAATATGCTACCTTTCTATATCATCAAGAAATGGTTAGATATTCTAGTCTTCTCGGATAGGGACGAATAAATGGAGGTTCCGTCTCCTGCAGGGTTAGGGTTAGGAGACGTTAATTTCCCATCCATGAGATGTGATGGATGTCCTACCCTGGGGTGGGATGGGTAGGTTTGTTGGAGCTTAAACCTCGTAGGGGACGCATGTCCTATTGTTTCTGCTCAAGTACTTGGTACAAATCATTAAATAAATAAATAATAAATAAATAAATAAAGTTCTGCGGGAAATCTGAAATTCCAGTGGGGCAAACGAGGAAATCAAAGACAAAGACACCAGCATTAATCAGACGTTTATTGGGGATAAACATACAGGTTCGGCTTGAATAAATTAACGAGGCGAGTGTATCACCACCAAAGGAATATACAAAACAAAACAAAAACAAACTTACCTTCTGCTCTCTGTGTACTGTACCACCATCGGAGAGAATTCATATAAAACAAAAACACCTTAAAAGAAAAGCAGCAGAAAGGGTTGGTTGCTGTCGTTTTTGGACCACAACATTCCTAAAGCTTACCCCAGTTTCTACAACAAAAAGAGACTGAAAGTATTGCTACCCCTGAAAGAATTGCTGGGTAATCGTAAGTACCCCCCTCCCCAAATTTTCACAAAAGAGGATTTTGACTTCAAACTGGCTAGAAAAACGAAACAGAGATGTACAGTAAACCATACCTGGAAGACCATGTTCACCAGACACCTGTCTTATCACTCTCTTGTGCTTGGTGACCGAGAACTGGTTAGTTTTTACAACCTGTAAAGACATCCCACAAAAGAAACCAAAAGAATTATTCAAAGACTCAAGATACATGTTGCTTGCAACATCAAGAGGCATTGTTACGTACGTAGACATGAAACTGAAGAAAATATAACCACAGAAAAGGACCCTTTCTCCATCTCCTTTGTACTGTAATTACAGGACGTCAACTGTTCAAATACCAAAACCGATCCATTTAGCTTTATAACCCACTCATTAATTTTAGCGCGATTTTATTGGTTACTTTACGTCACGTGGTGCAAAATCACAGGACAGTTATCACGCAATAACCCCCGTCCGCGTCGATATTTGTCCTCCGATTTTTCCCGTGAAAAAGAAACATAGTCAACACCAGAGTTTCAACTTTTCCGTTCTCCTATTTACATGGAAGGAAACCAAACTCGCTTTTTTTTTGCTTGCTTTCGTCAATCACGCGCATTCGCCATCAGATCACCACTGGCTTTTTGACTGTGTCAGTTACGCGCAGTTTAATTGCGATGTGAAAATTAATGGGAGGGTTATAAAATAAATAAACCCCGTTCTTGCTTGCTGGTACGACGGCTGATAATGTCCTTGGCTGAGAGATTGTCCTCAAAATTTCATATTTGCCCTCAAAGCTTCGCTTCTCGGCCAAATATTCATTTTTTAGACAATCTCTCAGCCATGGACATTATCAGCTGACCTACCAGCC